GTGAAGAGAGTAAAAAAGTACTCCCTCCATAATCTAATATAAGAGCGTTTGGATTACTAAAGTAGTGATCTAAACGCTCTTATATTAGTTTACAGAGGGTGTACAACGTTATCCGTTGCCAGATAACTAGGGTTGGAGTTATCTGGATTCATGGAGACAAGGATTGTATCGAAATTTGGACAGAGGGGTATGAGGTTTGTTTTCCTAGCTGATTAGTTTGGTGTAAAAAATATGCTGAACTTATACTGATCACTGCTATTTGAAGTTTTTCGTATTGTAACCTTTGCTAGAAAATGAAACTATAGTAGAGGTAATTTTAATAACAATGGGAGATGACAATTTACACATGGTGTGCATTTTGCGCTGCAGCCAAATAAATTTAGCATGTACTAGCAATGGCTTGCTGTGTCGTAGTTGAGAAGATTATCAGGTTTTCTATCATCACATTCTCTGTGATGATTCACTTGTGATATATCTATGGATGGATATTCACATGATCATGATTGTATAAAAAAAATTCCTAGTTCTGCAAGGCGCAAGATCTAATTGGTTTGAGGATGCAGATCGACAGATTTACAGTAAGTGTTAAGGATTTACAGTAAGTGTTAAGGCATGTGGCCTGCAAGCTTAGTCCTGCACTGCCACTTAGTAGTCAATTATCGAGGTTGGAGTATATGCTGAAGACAGCTTGGCTTAGACAAATTGGTTGGCGACTGGAGATGCCTGATATCGTAGTCTGGAGAATATGGCCAGGACAAGATTAAATCGGTTCTGCAGAACTAACAACTAAACAAAAACCCTTGCATAATCTAGATTCCACAGCCTCCGAATTAGTACCAAACACTACAGATTTGAGCGACCATAATATAAATTCTAAATCATCCTAGTCCAAACGAGAAATATAACAATTCCTTTAACACAGAAGGCATGTGATTCAAAGCCAGAAAGACCCCTAAATCCCATAAGCTACAGAACTCACTACCGGCTGCAGGGTTGCATCAGATTCAGCAAGCAACTACCTCGGCACCATCAAAAAGAAGGCGAATTCTTTAGCAGTTCAGTAAATCAAAACATGAAGCGAAGGGTAAAAGGATACTGAAGAGGTAGCGCTCCCACCAATCGAGCATGTAGAGGCCGATGTTGACATTGTAAAGGTGGATCTTGCGCCCGATCCAGTTCATCCTCCCCCAAAGAGACCCGACGCCGCAGATCCCTCGCTCAGATCCGGAAACAAGCGGCGAGATGTCGAACTTTCTGAGGAGGAAGAACGGCCTGGTGTCTTGCGGGATCGGGCGGGGTCTCTCAGAGGATCTTCTCTCGGTCGATGGCGTGGGTTTGTTCGGAAGCTAAACGCTTCAGATCTGAACTTCACATGTAAGGCTTTTTCCGTGGACACCTAGTTTCTGTTTTTGCCACCCTCGCTAATGAGAAGAAACCGAGTCGTTTCTGCCGGCTGATAGACGCGTAGCGTCAGCCGCCGTGCGCGTGCGACTTTTTCCTAAGATTGCATAGGTCTTTTACTAGCATATAATAAATGACCGTGTGTTGTAACGAAAAAAAATCAATTTATATTCAAGTTTAGTTTGATTTTTATGTGCAAAAACACATTCGCAGGTGATGCAAAATTTAGTTAAAATTAAAATTGTTCAGAAGATTCAACTTTGTCCAAGCAGAAAATGCTAATATTATAACATATTTTTTTACCCGCCTGAACATATAACAAAATAGAGTTAGGAACATGATGAAATTTAGTCATTTTTCATCCGAAATTGCTAGTTGACCGGAGATATTGCTCACAAAATTCAGAGAGAGGGAGATAGCATACGCCTCATGGCAACTATTAGTGTTTTGGGCTTCTTAGTGTGGATGAACATTCATGTTCAATGGAAGTGGTCTATTTGAGATTTTTCCATATGACTATATGTATGTTACAAATACTATACCAAAAGCAATAAAATAGCATTGGGGCTCTCGAGAGCGGCGATAGAGCGCTCGTCCTCGCCTGCTCCTGATAGTGGTGGCGAACTGGACATCAACACGTGTAAGCGACAATTGCCCCCATCGGCACTGCGGGATGTACCACTGTAGAAGGCAACAGTGATATACGGAAACAGTCCCGTCTTCGGGCCGGTAACTCCGACAGTGACTTTGGGATGTTCCATTGGTACATAACCGGCATCAACACGGTACTTAATCAGTAAAGATGTAACGCCGTCCAATTTGCGCCTGACTGAAAACATGCACAGCTGAGTTCGTTTGGTGCACGACGGCTGTCACGTGGAAGGAACACCGGTTATGTACTTGTGCTTAAAAGGTTGCGTTAAGAAAACGTGTGCTTAAAAGAAGCTAGCAACACATTTTCTTTGAAAAAAAAGAAAAGGCTGGGAACGCAGTATGTAAA